CCACTGAGCCATCACTCCAGTCCCCGGATCAGCTTTTAAAAGCTTCCTGACACCTTTGTTTGGAATGTAAAACTCTGGCTAAGAAGTTGCCTTAGGGAAGGACTGATGGAAGAACAGTCTGAACGGCTGGCCCTGCCAGGAGGAGATGGGTATTCAGCAAGCGAGCCACCTATCAGCCATTCTGAGGACAGAGGGTCCAGATGTCCCGTGGCTGCTTGTCTCAGAGCCAGATCTATGTGTGGTGGGGCAAGAAGCAGGGAGCTCTAGCCTCTAAGGACACTTTTATGCTTCCACCTGGCAGACACATTGTTCTACAGACCCACAACTAGCTAGAAGTGGAACTAGAACAATAAGCAAAGGATTAAGTCATTGTGCCACTAACAGAATTCCTGTTCTTTGCATTGTTGGGAGCACGCTCAGCCAGAGTTATGCTACTCACTGTCTCCTGTGTTTGTCTCTGTCCCAGGTACCAGTTCTTTATGGCCTTAGGTACCCACACCTTTTCTCTCCCTTGCAGCCAGGCAATGGGTAGACTTCTGCGTCAGATCCCCTGGGTAGCTTCTTGTTTGGTGGTTGCTATCCACACTTGGGGACCTATCCTGATGTAGCAGCCATGAGTCCCTAGCTGCTGAGAAACGAGGTAATACCTTGGCCTTTTCTGTTGCCAGATCACCAGAAACTGGAGAGAGAGGCTCGGATCTGCCGTCTGCTGAAGCATTCCAACATTGGTGAGCACCTGGAGGCGGGCAGAGTGGGTGGTTTTGAGAATGCCTATGGAGATATTTAGAACCCAGAACCTGGGGCCGGTGACCTGTCCAAGCCTCACACATGGGGTGAGTGGCCCTGCCAGGAGGAAGTGGGTATTTGACAAGAGTCTATCAGCCCCATTTGCCTGCACTCCACACAGATGGGAGACAAGACAGGACAGTCACAGGATTCTGGGTCCCCTGCCAAGTCTTGGTCTCCAGAAAGCACAGCTGCTCTGCCTGTCAGTCCCTTCCTAAAGCCCAGACAAATGTTCAGGGAGCTGCAGGGACCAAGGTGGTGCCGACGTGGAAAGTCAGCTCAGATCTCCCTGGGCCACTGGTCCTTCCGTAGCTACAGTGAGGCACCTGCTATGCACGTACAACCACAAGTGCCTGTCTTCCCAACTCGGGGCCCTCTGGAGCTGAGGAAGAGTTTGGGAGCTCAGATCTGACCAGTGCTGGAGAGCAGCTGGAGACACCTTGGGTGTGGCTGCCCACATCTACAAATGCAGGGCCGACCTACCTCAGAGGTGCTGGGATTTATCAGCGGATTCCTGGGCTCTACCCTCCAAAGATTCAGTTTTGCCAGGACACAGCCCAGGATCCATTTTAAAGGGATCCCCATGGCTGGATTGGGAACCTGGCTTCTACATCTCTTTCCAGCCCGGGGGCTGACCCAGAAAGGGAAGGTTAATCTGTTGTGTGATTGAGGGGATCACTGCTGCTGTCCTGCTCCCAGGAGCTGGAAGGCTTGGCTGGCTACTGGACCACACTGAGAGCTGGATGGGGAGAGATATAGCCTTTCTTTCTGAGGCTGCTTTGGGTCTTAGCCACCAGCTGATTAATCCTGGTCTCTTAGTTTCAGAGCCTTACCCGCTTTGTTTTTTTGAGACAATGACTCAGGGCCTTGGCTGGCCCTAAACTTGCTGTGTAGACCAGGCTGTCCTTGAACTCATTGAAGTCTACCTGCCTCTGCCTCCTAGGTGCTGGGATTAAAGGTGTGTGTCACCACACCCGGCATAGAGCCTTCCCCTCTTGACTTGTAGGTGCCTGGGCCTACCTTGGAGAGCTGACTCTGAGGTCTGGGTAGGCCCAGGAACCTGGATCTCAGCAGTGTCCTTGGGACTGCTGGGCCACTGGGTACCCACAGCTTAGTGCCAAGAGCCTGTTACCTGTCACCACTGGGTACTGCATCTCCTCTTGGGGATCATGGAAGATGGCCCAACTCCACCAGTACCTCCAGGCCCTTGCTTACCTGCCCCTAACTGTGCAGCAACCAAGAGCCAGAACTCATTCTGCTTGTGTTTGCATGAACTGCCTTATTTGGGTGAGTGGGGACCCAGGTGTGTTTTAGGTTGCCGTTTTGCTTAGTTCTTCAGTTAGATATCTCCCTGGCCTGGCCGGAAGCCTAGTGTGGTTCTGGATGGGTTCCAAGCAGTGGCTTGGCTCCAGCTTCCTGTGTAGACTGGGGAGAAGAGGCCACTAGAAGTCCTTGCAGCAGCTTCATTTCGGGCAGGTTAGAACCCCAAATCAGGACATTCTGGGACATAGACCTGTGGCTGTGGGGTTCCAGTGGAACCCTCTCTGAAGATCCAGGGGCTCTCTGAGGAGGTGAGGGGGACTCCTAGGGCTACCCACAGCCTTCTCTTACTCCTCTTCCTCAGCCCCACTTTTTTTTTGGGGGGGGACAGCATTTTTTACTGTAGCCTTGGCTGTACTGGAACTCACTCTGTAGACCAGGCTGGCCTTGAACTCATAGAGATCCACCTCCCTCTGCCTCCGGAGTACTGGGATTAAAGGCGTGTGTCACCACCTCCCAGCATCAGCCCCACTTCTAGACAGAAAGCTGTCCACAGACCACCCTGAGACCATGAGCAAGTGCTAGGGGTCAGGTAGAGAGGTGGTTCTGGGTTGGGGGTAAGTTGGGAAGCAGTGTATGGCAGGCTGAGGAGGGGAGAGACCTCTGTCTCCCCTCTGATATGGAAATGGCTCCTGCCACTCTCCCAGGGGCCTGGTGACATGAGCTGAGATGCCTCACTTGGGAAACAATATAAAACAAAGTGCCCCCTTAGGGGAAGCAGAATACACTATAAAGTCACTCCTCTCCAGAGGCCTGAACTAAGGCCCACCTACATTCTCCAAGCTGACTTCTTATTGGTGAAAGGGAACAGAAATGTCCTGTCTTTCACAGTGTGGTTTCACAAGTCTGGCATCCATCTGTGCTGCAGAACAAATAGCCCAAAGTCTTGGCGGACCAGGCTGGGTTGTCCCAGCATCTACTCTGAAGAGCAGCTGGTCTGGTGGCAGGCCTCCACCAAGTGTCCTTGGTTCAAAAGTTATTAAGAATTCCATATCAAGGGCTGGAGAGATGGCTCAGTGGTTAAGAGCACTGACTGTTCTTCCAAGAGGTCCTGAGTTCAATTCCCAGCAACCACATGGTGGCTCACAACCACCTTGAATGAGATCTGGTGCCCTCTGCTGGTAACGCCCAGCATCCTGGTAATGCCCAGGGCACTTATGTACAGGGCTGTGTCTGCCAACGGCTTGATTGGAGCCTCAGAATTAATTTCCAAGATGGCTCCTACTAAGATCTCAAGTTCCTCCCTGGAAGTATCTCCCCAGAGCTAGGTAAGCATCATTGTGACATGGCAACAGGCTCCACCAAAGCCAGGGTTAACAGAGAGAGAGAGTATGTTAGTCAATTTTCATTGCTGTGACAAAATGCCTGAGCTAGTCAGCCTATGAAGAGAAGCGTGTTTTAGGTCATTGCTACAGAAATGTCAGTCCAGGGACTGAACAGGTGGCTCAATGGGTAAAGGGCTTCTCTACCATAGCAGCCCAAGGCTCAGATCCCCAGCACCCATGGAAATGCCAAGCAGGCATGGTGGCCCTCCTGAAACCCCAGTGGTCAGGAGGTGGGGACAAGGGATGCCCAGAGCAAGCTGGCTGGCCGAACCAGTGAGCTCTGGATTCAAGTGAGAGACCCTGACTCATATTAAGGCTGAGAGTAATTGAAGAAGATGCCAAGTGTCAATCTCTGGCCTCTACATGTACCTACACACACATGTGCTCCCACATGTGTGAACATGAACACACATACAGACACACACACACTTCATGGTTGCTTGTATTAGACCCCCGGAAAACTCAGGCTTCCAGGGTCTTAGCCCAGGACCGTGGTCACCCCAATCACCAGGTGGATTCGAAAGCTTGTTGCAAACTTCGCAGCTCGAAGGGGCTGCATAGAGATCTTGTAGGGCATCATAAGGGGAGTGTCTAAGGGTACGCAAGGCTCAGGATTGGTGTGCCTCCAGGCTTGGAGGGCTTGCCCAGTGTTGATTGGCCAACTGGTTGTTATGGCCCATAGGCCCTCCCAGGGTGGTTGCTATGCTCTGCGCGTCATTGCTGTGCACACCCAGAGCCGTAAAGCATAGCACCACCAGCTAACTTCTGATTGGTTCTTTGCCACGAGGCAGGCATCTGACTTCTAGTGAGTAGGACAAGGTCATGGCAAGCACGTGTTACTGTCATGACTGCCGAAATGGGGAGCTAGTCCCTTCACTTGGGGCCTGTGGCAGAAGCAAACATTGGAGAAGATCTGTTCACCTCACACATGCAGCAGAGGGACAAAGGGTAGAGAGGATGGGGATTCCAAGATCACCTTCAGGACACATCCCCACTCATCTAACTTCCTTTCACTAGGCCCCACCCCTTAAAGGAGCCATCTCTCAATAGAGCCCTGTGCTGGAATCAAGCCTTCAACATGTGGGCCTTTGGGGGACATTTCCAAAGACAATCTACAGAGACAAAACAGAGAAACAGGGCCCAATGTGCGACAACAGAGAGAGACACCCATAGAGAAAATGGAGGGTATATTACCTATAAAAATTATGATAAAGCAATGTTCCTGCGTAGATGCCCAGTCCTGCAGCATTGACTACATCCTCAATGCAGTGGGCCCACCCCTGCTGCCTACAGCCAGACCTTTTGCCTCTTTCCCATCAGCCTCACCCTCATTAAACAACTTCCCATTCCCCTCCTCCTGTCTCTGGACCTGACGTTTTGCTTCTGTGTCTATGACTGACCACTTGCAAAACCTCATAGAAATGGAGCCAAGCCATACATGGTCTGCCTTTCCATGCCTGGCTTATTTTACTGAGTGATGTTCTCCAGGGTCATCTTTGTCAGAATTTCTTATTCTTCCCCTCCCCTCTCCCTTCTCCTCCCTCCTTCTCCTTCCCCCTCCTCCTTTTCTTTCTTCTCCTCCTCCTTCTTCATCTCTGAGACAGGGTTTCTCTGTGTAGACCCCACACTCCTGGAATTCCCTCTTAGACCAGACTGTCCTTGAACTCAGAGGTAGAAATGCTGCCCAGCTAGCAATTCTTCCTTTTGAAGGCTGAATAATATTCATTGCGTGGCAGTTCCACATTTTGTTTGGACATCCGTTTCTCGATGGACACTTGGGGATGCCAAGTGTCCATCTTGGCTGTTGTGGATAGTGCTTTTCTAATGGGGTACACAGGCGTATAAGTCCCTGCCTTCTGTCCCCTGAGTATACACCTGAGAGCGTGTTGCTCGCATTGGAACCTTGTTTAACCCTTTGAGGAAACATATACCTTCTTATGATCTGCTTTGCATGGTATCATTCCTGCATGATTCCTGCATCATCCTACTTGAAGTCCACAAGCAGGGCAAGCAGCTTCCATAGAGGAAATGCACTGTAGAGTTTGGGATGCGTTTTCCAGCCACCATGATGAGTACCTGAGGTTATGGACCTGGTTCTTACCTGCTGAGCTGTCTCATTGTGAGTGAGGCTCATGGCCTCAACCCTACCAGCCATAACGCAAACCCAATCGCCCTCAGCTGACAGCTCCCTAGCATCTCCACAGGGCTTGGCCAAGTGCTTGCTCTAGAGTGACCCAGTCTCTTTCAGAGTCAAAGGGAGGCCTGGGAAGGTGCAGCAGCCCTAGGTATGGCCTGACCTTTGCAGTGCTGTGAAGACAGAGACAAACCGGGGGAGGTCTGATGGGTCACTTACAACATCAAGAAGCTTTGCCTGGATCCCCTTCCTGGGAAGTAGCCCAACTCATTCAGGTTGTCACCCCAGTCTTTGGACACAAGGTGTCCTGGTGTCATCAGAGAGGCTGTCAGAAGCTCAGAAGAGAGCCACAAAGCAGAACCAATAGAGACACATCTACAGGCCTTAATAGGGGGGTTCTGGCATGGGGAAGGGGTTCCTCTGGCTTGTCTGGAAAAAGGTGGTGTGAACAGAAGAAGCCATGTGGTTGCCCAAGTCAGGGTCCCCAGGCGAAGGGGCTTCCAAGACTAGGTTGTGACAGTGAAGTTGGTATCTTTGTGACACTAATCCTTGAACACAGATGGTCTATGCCTCACCTGGATGTGTCCCCTGAGCTCAGCACCATCCCCAGGGAGGCTCCAGAATTCATTATTCAGCACATTTATAAGTGCCTGTCTTGTGCCAGGAGAGGCAGTCCCAGGTTGCTTCGGGTCACTTGCAAGAACTGCTGCAGGGCTTCTGATAGCTAAGCCCACTATTGACATCACGTGCTTGACCTGCAGGAGGGAGCCAGTGCCACTGCGGGTGTTGTCCTTAGCTATCAGGTGTGGAAGACAGTTCCACCTGGGAAGAAGCAGGTCCTAAAGCCACCCCCTTGCACAGTGACAGAGACCAGGTGGAGCCTCGGCAGCACCTGTGACTGGTTACAGCTCCAGTCAGGAGTCCAGAGTCACCTTTCCTGGATGAGGGCTTGCCCTCTGCATATCACTCATTCTCTCCTGGGCCTGGCTTAGAAGTCAGGAGGGCCTTCCTAAATAGTTTCAGGACTGAGGAGCTAGACTAAAGGGCACCCAAAGGATGGAGCCCTCTGAGGACAAGGAGCTCAGGGAGAAGCCACACAGATCACAGGAGCTGCAGCCAGGACTTCTGATAGCTAAGCCCACTATTGACATCATAAGCTTGACCTGCAGGTGGAGTCCAGTGCCACTGAGGGTCAGAAGGACCCCCAAGTCCTCTAATGTTTGGGTGCCTGGACCTTCTTTGCTCTCAGAAGCCACAATTCCAGCTGGACTTGGGGGTCTGGGCCCTTGAGCTGTGCTCAGCAGAAGGGAAAGGAGTCCTCAGCAGCTGGACACTCACAGCAGAACAGACAAAAGGGCATGGTCATGTTTCTGCGTTCCTCTCCCCTGGGAGACTGAAGCTGTGTGTGAGCTCTGAGTGAGATTTGCCACTGGCCACCTGACCAGATCCTCCTGGCAAGAAGCTGTGGTAGACTTCCCATCACCATCTCCGTATACCAGCCAGCGGTGTCATTTACTTTCTGTTCTTAAATAGATTTTTGTCACAGTTCACTTCTTCCGTAGCCTTTTCTGTGAACTCACAAATTGGATGTGCTAGTTAGGGTTTCTTCAAAGCTATTAAAATAAGCACCTGTTTAAAAAAAAATGGTGTCCACGTGCCCACTACCTTAATTCCCCACACACAGAGCCCTGTGGTTCCTTCTGTGGGAGGAACCTATGTCCTAGAAAGGGGATGGGACTCACCTGGCCAAGCCTCTTCTGCCTCTAATCAGGGTGGCTGAGGACAGGCAGCCCCCACCAGCAGGCCTTTCCTGGGGACCCTAGGGGGGCAACGAAGCAACTGTCTTAGGGTTCTGTTGCTGTGAAGAGACACCATGACCATGGCAACTCTTATAAAGGAAACATTTAACTGGGGCTGACTTACAGTCCGTTATCGTCGTGGCAGAAAGCATGGCAGCATGCAGGCAGACATGGTGCTGGAGAAGGAGCTGAGACTTTTACATCTGCATCCACATGCAGTAGGCAGAGAACTGGTTTGAGTTTCTCAGACCTCAAAGCCCACCCCCTAGTGACACACTTCCTCCAACAAAGCCACACCTACTCCAATGAGGCCACACCTCCTAATACTGCCACTCCTTGTGGACCTCTGGGGCCATTCCTGTTCAAACCTCCACATGCTCCAGGGGCCTAGCTGGACCTTCTCTAGAGCAGCATTCTCAGGAATAGATGGAAGAAAGCCCTCCCGTGACTGCCAGGAGCCTTCTCTGCTCAGAGTGGAGGCAGCTGGGACGTCTCAGACAGGCCACCCTGATGGGCCCCCACTAGGCAGGAGCCAGAGGAATGTGCTCTGACACAACCTCAGGGATTCTGTTGGCAGGTCCTGGAAGGAGGCTGCCAGCAGGCACCAGGGACTCATCTTGACTTAGGGAGACACAGGTCAGCCTGGACAGAGTGGGGATCCAGTTAGAAACAGAGGGTCTAGGAAAAAGCCACTACCATGGGCTTCAGGTCCTGAAGTGGCCCCAGACTCGGAGTCTCAGTCATCTGGTGTTTCTCATACCTGAATGACAGTGATGATGATGATGACAGACACAGGGCTGTGGCTCAGGGGGCACCCTCTGCTCCATGTAAGTTCACAGCAATCTATGAGCAGGTGCAGACTGAGGCTCAGGTGACTGGGGGTCCCTCCCAAGTCACACAGCTAGCTTGATGGCCACAGAGAGTGTCCTTCTGTTTCCTGGGGCCTGATGTCTCTCAAAGGTAGACATGAGCCGGGCGTTGGTGGCACACACCTTTAATCCCAGCACTCGGGAGGCAGAGGCAGCGGATCTCTGTGAGTTCGAGACCAGCCTGGTCTCCAGAGCGAGTGCCAGGCTAGGTTCCAAAGCTATACAGAGAAACCCTGTCTCGAAAAACCTAAAAAAAAAAAAAAAAAAAAAAAAGGTAGACATGAGGTGAAGTGCCCCATGGGGCTAAGATGCTAGAACCAAGCTGGGGAGTAGGGCAATATCAGAGCTCCTAGGCATATGGGTACTATCAGGATGGTGCCTGGGGGAACCAGTGCCAAGAAGGAAGACACTGGCAGCCAGCTAGAAACTAGGACAGTGCGGGAGGGTGCCAGGAGCAGGAATTGTGTGGGCTGTTTTTGCCTGAGGTCCTGGAGCCCCATGGGACCCGGGAGAAGGTGGCTAATCTTCACCCTCCAGCCTCGTGGCCCAGTCTTGGGTGGCGGAAGACAGCAAGAACTTAGAGATCCCAAGAGAACAAGGCCCATAGGGCTGGCACCGTGTGTTCACTAGAACCAAACCCTTGATTCCACAGCCCCACTTCACCCCTCGTGGGTTGTGTACCCCCGGTTGATTAGTCAGCCTCTGCCACAGCTCCCTTGTCTGCAGCCCGGAGGGGTGGTGGGTAAGCTAATTGAAAAGACACATGCAAGGGCTCAGAGAAGCCCTGGAGTACAGTGCTGTTCTAGCAAGGGGGAATCTGCACGTGGGAGAGCAGGTCCCAAAGTGAGTCATTCCTAGGAAATCCTTACTGCCTGGTGCAGAGTGCAGCTCCAAGCTGAGGCCTCACCAGTGCTCATCAGTGCTTCATCAGTGCTCAACAGCTCCTCCTTCCTCACATCCCATCAACCCTACCCAGCCCAGGCAGGGACTAGGAGTGAGCCCGAATACAAGTTCACAAGTGGAAATAGGGCCAGAGGGAGGGAGCCGGTTAGACCCCACTGGACAAAAGGAATCAGAATGAAGGCCTCCTGAGCCTTTGAACACTGCCACACTTGGAAGAAGCCGCCTTCTGAGCCTGGTCCCTGCCTGCTGAGGGCAGCCTTGGGGTCCAGAATGAATAATGTGTTTGTTTCCTGCAGAACGCTCTCCTGTAATGGTGTGGCTCCTGTCAGGGGGTTTGCAGCAAGGCTTTCCGGTGTTCCCTTTCTGGTAGGGTTGGAAATAGGAGAGCAGAGAGGGGCCAGTGGAAGGGCAAGGTGCTGCCTAGAGCGTTGTGGTACTCTCTCAGCTCAGCCTGCAGCACCTAGAGCCAGCCTGTAGCTCCCCAAGTCCCAGTCAGCCTCCTTGGAGGAGACCCCGTGGGTCACAGAGAGGAGCTCCCTCACCTAGGACTTGCACCACTGCTGCTGGTGTGGACCAGGTGGGTGGAGGTGGACATGGGGGACTATTCTGGGCTGCTTCCAGCTCCTCATGACTTCTTTGTTCCTGCAGTACGTCTCCACGACAGCATCTCAGAAGAAGGCTTCCACTACCTGGTCTTCGATCTGTAAGTGCCAGAGCCAAGGACCCTCACCCTCTGTCACTCCCACCGTGGGGCCCTCAGCCTCTGCAGATTCCGAAACAGTTCTGTTCCCACATCAGGACAGTCCTTGAGCGCACCTCTGCAGTGGGCTATATCCAGCTTATCCACCTCTAGGTTTTACCCACAAGTCTGAGTCTGACATGCTGAGGTCATCCTCCATGCAGAAAGCTGGTAGGTGGGCGCAGTGGAGGGCAGACCACAGAGAGTAGTCAGTGCCCATTCACCTTCCTCTCTTCTGAGGGTTTGAGGCTTCAAGTCTTGTCACACCAGGTTGGGGCATAGCTAACTGGCATGAGCATGTGTTTTATAATTATAAGTGAAAGGATGTATGTACACACACGTGTGTGATGGTACCTGAGCTTGTATGAGAGAGGAAGATCAGAGATGGTTTGTGTAAGGTCCATGGTTGTACATGCATGATGTCTGTTTTACGAGTGTGAACCTGTGTGTGGTTTAGGGATGCAGGCTTGTGTGTGTGTGGTTTTATGGGGGGACACTTTTGTGTGTGTGTGTGTGTGTGTGTGTGTGTGTGTGTGTGTGCGCGCGAGCGCGCGTGCATGCATGTGAGTGTGTGTGCATGAGAGTGTGTGCAGTAACAGAGTGAGAAGGCGTTTGGGGCCAACTCCGCCTCTCACTTCCTGCCGGATTTAGAAGCGATGATCTCATCTCCCTTACTCTTGACAGCTCCTGCTAAGCAGCACTATATTTAGCTGTCCGTGAATCAAGGCTGCTTCGGGACCCTGGGCTGGGTGGGGGCCCAAGAGCTTTGGCCTGCCCTGGTGGCCTCCAGACTGCACAGCCAGGGAAGCCTGGATCTGGTGCTGTTACCATGGTTACCGCATGCCCTCTCACTGCCCTTGAGCAACAGGCTGAATGGGAACAGGAGGTGCCTTCCTAGGCCCACCTCTCCACTCTTCCTCCCTCAGACGACAGGTGTCCAGGCTGCGGGGCATGCAGGCCTTAGTGCCCTCTGCCCCTGTAGGGTCCTCAGTGAAGAAGTCGGGCTGCCCCTTCACGGAGTTTGCTTATTTCTCAGATACCTCTATGTGTCCCACAAGACCCTGCCTAGAATTATCAGCTAAATAACCCCGCTACAGTCTGACTGAATCTGTGCCCTGCCTGAGACATCAGTCCCATGGCCTGAGATGGACAGGCTCACTGTTTCCCCTTTGTGCTCAAAGCCTACTTTCACCACCCTCTCTTCTCCTCAGGCCTGTGGGCTGAGGGTGGTCCTGTCCAGGCCCCTGATGGCCAACAGATGGCTGCAGTTGTTTCAGGAGCTGAGAAGGAAAGAGAAGGGGGAGGAGGTATGTGTGTATGTGTGAATGTAACACATGTATCCCTCAGGCCTCCCAAGACATGCCAGGCAGGCAGCTTCAGAGACTGAGGATGGTGGGTCTAGACAGAAAGTCTAAATATCCTTCTCCCATACCTCCGGAGCCTCCAGGGTTGTAGGTTCTGAGGTGGTCTGGTAGCACCCCAGCAGGCCTGAGGCCTTGTCAGCTTGAGCTCTGCAGGTTCTGGGAGATGACTGGTACACACCAGGCCTGGGCATGGAAGCTACAGGACAGGGCTACCAGCAGCGGTCCCAACTCCCTGTCCTGGTGCCCACACACCAAAATGTAACTTCCTGAATACTTGAGATACCTCAGGGGGCCTGGCCCTGGCACAGATCTGGCACCTCCAAGGGCACCATTCAAGCTACAGCTCCACACAAAGACCCACTGGCCTTATGCTGTTTTCTCTGCCCAGATTTGAATTTGCAAAGCCTGGTTCAGGATTATTTTGTGCTGAGACTCAAACAATCAATCTCCCAGCGCTGAAGATAGCAGCCTCTTTCCTGGGCTGCTCCTAGATCTGACTCTCCGGTTGCGCATGTGGACAAACTACACACTCGCAGTGCTGCTTTTTCCATTTGGGGGTGGTCCTTTGCTAGCTGGAGACAGAGACAAAGAACAGGAGGGTGTATGGTCTCCTGGAGACAGGAGTTCATGAACCTCAGGACCTCAGCTCTAGGAGGCTAGATCCAGGCACTATACCCTCTGGACCCTTTCACCACTGTGTGAGGCCTCAAATCTGGCCCGGGACAGGGGATCATTGAAGTGGGGAAACCAGATATCCTCAGATCTAGAATTAGAATCACAATGCTGGGTTTAATACTAGAAACCCCTGGCTCAAACCCCTGTGCTGCCTACTGTGAGGCAACTGCTTAGATCTGAGAAACTCAGTTTTCTCAGGGGATGGTTGTGAGGACAGGTACTGAATGTCACCAGACGTGAGCAGGTATGCCCTTGATAAGTTGTTGGTGTGCCAGGATGGAGGTGATGGTGCTCGGGAGTGATGGTGGTAAGATACGGTGATGATGATGGCGGTGATAGTAATGAGATGGCAGCAGGGATGACAACGGTAGTGGTGACGGTGAGGTGGTGGTGGTGATGGCTATGATGGTGGCGGTCGTGGTAGTTGTGGTGATATAATGAGAGATGAAATGAGAAGAGTGATGGCAATGACGGTGAGGGTGGTGGCAGTGAGGGATGGCAGTAATGACTGATAATGATGTCGATGACAGTGATGTCACGGTGGCAGTTATGATGGTGACCCTGGTGGCAGGGGTGGTAGCGGCAGTGATGGCAGTGGTCCTGATGGCAGCGATGGGTGCTGGTGGTGGTGACGGTGATGGAAGTATCAGGATGATGAGGGTCTCCGGGATCCATGGCCATGTGCTTTCCTCATAGGGTCACTGGTGGGGAGCTCTTTGAAGACATCGTGGCAAGAGAATACTACAGTGAGGCTGATGCCAGGTGGGTTCAGAGATCCACGCCATGCTCCCCTTTCCTAGCCTCCAGCTCTTTCCTCACTTAGCCCCACTCCTGCCCTTTCTGTAACCCACAATTGTCCCATGAGTGGCTGTCATTGCCATGGCCCCTCAGAGGTCAACTGAGTAGAAGCATCAGCAGGCCTATGGCCAACTGGGAACTCTGAGCAAGAGTCAGGAGCAAGGGCAGCTGCATGCCTTTAGCTAGCACAGAGGTGTGGCTTCAGTAGGGAGCATCTGGGCATGAGCATCAGGGAGGTGCTCTTCTGCTGCTGGCTTATAGGGCAGGAGCCCTTGACATCTTCCTGCTCTGCTCTTGGACATCCCATCCACAGTCCATTGGCCTCCCACAGATCAGCTAAGAAAGACAGGCCAGGAATCAATTCCCATCCATGGTATCCTCTCAGAGCCACCTTGGCTCCACCCAGTATGATCATAAGAGTGTACTCTAGGTCACGCTGTTGGGTACCACTGTTTTCTCAGAGCTCCTAGACTCCCACTCACCTCACTTAAGGGCAATGCGGGGAGCCCAGGCGAGACTGAAACCTTAGTACAGGGCAAGGGGCCCTATGTCCAGGATGCCAGGCAGAGGGTTGAGCCCTGGATCTATGGGCCTGTTGTGTGTGGGTGAGTCCAGGCCTGGATTCCTCATGGATATTTGAGGAAACAGTCTTTATCTCCAGGCCAGTCTTTGCCAGGGCAATGAAGAAGGACAATGACCCCAAAATGACCATTTATGGCATGGCTTCTGGGGACCAGATGAAGGGTGTCAGTTGTGGCTTCTGGATGGGATTCTGGGGCCCATATCAGATGCTACCCAGACTGTGTCTTGTCTCAGGGTTATGTTCAGATGGTCACCCCTGCCCGTGGGTCCTGTCCTCCTCTGCCTGGCCACAGAGATAAATGTGCATTTAAAAAAGAAAAGGGGCCACAGTGGTCCTTTCCAAGCTGTCGAGTTATGGGTGGTTTTAAATTTTTTATCTTGTCTATTTTAAAGCTCGTCTTTAATGAATATGTATTACATCTCTAATCGAGAAAAATGAATGTTATTTTTACAGGATCTTTATGTGACTTGGTTCTGCACTAGCAGGCACCCTTGCCTTTCACCAAAGGCCCGAGTCCCTATGGAAAGCCATGAGCATCCTGGCTCATCATGGTCTCTTAGGTCTTCCCCATGGAGCCAGGCAGCAGAAGCCAAGTCATCGAGAAGGACAGGGTGGGACACGCCTGTGGCCCAAATTCCCAGTCTCAGGAAACTAAGGGTGATGGGTCCTTGTGAAGGCTCCCCCAGGAAAAACATTGTGTTTTGATAAACACCTAAAAGAAACCTGTCCCTTGACTGACGGGAAAGAAAATTTTCCTTTATTTTCTACTTATAAGAGGAGCAGATAGTAGAAGGAACCCTCTTTCCCTGACCTAAAATGCTGGGTAAGAAATGTTAGTAAGCAGGGATGTCACTGCCCTTCCATGTACCTACAGGGGTGTCTAACACTCCTCTCCTTAGCCGTGTCTTCCAGCCCTTGCCCCCATTCCATCCCTATGATCCCATGTGGTGGGGGGGTCCCTACCGTAAGCTTTGTCCTCTAACTTGGGAACTACTTCTACCATTGGGGGTCAGAGCTCACCCCATGCTATGCTTTCAAGGCCACACCACCAGTCCCACTCAGTCAATCTCTGACAGGCCCACAGCGCCCTCTGGTGGCTCTAAGGCACCTGGCCTGTAGCCCACCCCCTCACCCCCAACCTTCTTGCTATAGGAGATTGAGGAATAGGGTAGACAACCCTGTCCCAGAGGGCTTGGGTCCGGGAGGGCTCAAGACCAGAGTGGCTGAGAGTTTCCAAGTTCTTAGGCTGTTCAGGTCATAGGAACCTGTAGGCTGGGAGAGGGAAGTGCCCCAAGTCCTTGCCAGGCACCTCCATGTCTCCTCAGAGGACGGTAATTCCTGCTGCCTCCCAGGGAAACCCTATGTGGAGAGTGTTGCAAATATTTAAGTTTTCCTGGACCTAGCTCTGGCCCAGAAGACATGGGACTGTCTCACCACACAGCTCTTCACAGAGTGCTGTCTCTCTGGGATGTGGGAATCTAAGGGAAGGGACATGCTCAGTAGACAGTCTATGAGGAATGGTGAGCAGCCCAAGTCCTGAAACGAGGGGAGAGCACATGAGGAATCCCCATGAAGAGGCCACATCCCACTTGTGTGACAGCCCAGCCCCTGTGTCTACTGCGAGGTTCCTCTGTGACCTGGGCTTTTCTTTCCACTGGGGAGGGAGACCGCACAGTTGGGACTCAGATCTCGGGCAATGTGCTGGCTGCACTCCTGCCTCCAACTTTGGTGCCTGATGGGGGTCTGTTTAGGTCCTTGTTGCCCCATAGCCATTGACTCACCCCGGGGTGGATCCCAACACTAACTAGAGTAGAACTTGTGCCCAGGTTGAGAGAAAGAGCACAGGGGAGATGGACTGACACCATCTGGCCAGATGTAGTGGAGGCAGATTCCTAATGTCCAGAGCAGGAAAACAAAAAGAGTGGCTTTTCTGAAACTGTTTCTATCCAAGAAAGCTGAAGGTTCCTTTTTAGAGTGCCGTGGGGCTTTTATTCTGGAGCTTGTAGGGGAAACTTAGAGGTGACCAAGTCTTTTTGTAAAACAAGGAAAACAAAGTTGCAAATACAGAGATGATTCTTGCAAGACTTAGAAAGCAGACACAATGGCATGCACCTGTCATGTAGGACAGTGTGCCCAGCTACCGTGGTGGCTGACTAGGTCCCAGACTGAGAACCATGTCCAGAGCCTGGCCAATGGCCAGAATGCTGTCCAGGATGATTCTGACCACAGAGTGACTTCTGAATTGATCAAAACATTAAAAAAAAAAAGTATTGACTTTGCCTGGCAATGGAGGTAGCAGTCCTTTGCATAGCCCTGCTTGGCTGACCTCTCCTCCGCTTGGGATGTTCTTCCAAAGGATCAATTTATATTCACTAGGAAGTGACATCTTCCACGACACCACCAGCATGTACCCAGCATGGAGCTTGAGGAAGGGTCCCTAAAGAGAGGTCCCTGAGTGTCCACTCACAGGTAATAGCCTGCCTTCAGGCTAGTGTTGTCACTTTCCCTCCCGCAGCCTGGTGCCATGTTCTCTTGAAGAGCCTTGGCTTGCTGACCAGCTTGTTCCTGGGTACTAGGGACCCTCGCAGGGTGGCTCTGAAGTCTGGAGGACTAGACTATGCCAGAAAGGGACGATTGTGAGCCCAGCAGCATGGGCTAGTAAAAAGGTTTCTGGTGCTTTTCTTGGGACCCAGAACCAGCAGGAAGTGTGCCTCAGGGGACAGAGGGTAGGATAGTGTGCACTGCTACATGCATGCTGGTCATGCCATCATGGAGAGTAAGACCACAGGGCCTCTCCTAGAGACTTGACTGGACTTAAATAGTCAGAGCCCAATTTGGAGGAAGCTCTCTGAGGAGGGTGCTAGCTCTGGCCCTCAGCATTCTCTGCAGGGTGTGGAGCAGGTTGGGTCCATGCTGGTGGTGTCGTGGAAGATGTCACTTCCTAGTGAATATAAATTGATCCTTTGGAAGAACATCCCAAGCGGAGGAGAGGTCAGTCAAGCAGGGCTATGCAAACCACAGACTTGACTGGAGACCTGTAGTCTACTCCCATTTTCTCTAAATAGGGCCACAGGGCCTGGCTATCCACTCTGTATATTCTGAGAGGCCGTTGGCCATTAGGAGAGTCGGAGGAGCCCTCTGCACTCGCCAAAGCTGGGGGAAGTATTTTGAACTCATAGCTGTGCCCTCATTGGTTCTGGTGTACATCATGTTTGCCCTGCAGGAAGACTGCGCTCTGACCACTTGAGTGGGGTGTGCTGTGCCCAGTCCTACAGGCCTTACCATGAACACAGCTGACACCTAATCTCCATGGGACTGAAAGCCACCTTGAGTGACAAGTACTAAGCTCTTCTTGGGGACCAGGAAGAGGGCAAGGATAAGTAATGGTTGGTACCAGGAAGAGTAGGATGTCATGAGAAATGGCAGTTCCTTAAGGCCCTTCAAAAACAGCAGGAAACAGGAGACGGGCCAAGGTGAACCCTAGGAGGGGACTGGGAAGGAGGGTTTCAAGAGCCCCCCCCAACAGGTGAGACATGGTAAAATTACAGAGGGCTGCCTCCCACATATTGGACATGTGTAACATGAGAAATAAAAACCCACAGGCAGATATTGGAGTTCAAGCTTCAAGCTGAAGATCAGAAAAGCAAAGCAGCCAAGCCAGTAGATCTTACTTCTAAGCTGCTGAGATAGCAATCCTGTCTCCACAAATCCTCAGAAGCCGGCTCCTCCTGCCTTTTATTCCTTTCTCCACCCAGCCATATCACTCCCAACTCTACCTCCCTAGTCCTGGGATTAAAGGCTAGTGATCCCAAGTGCCAGGATCACCTTTGTGTGAGCTGTTTCTTTTAGGACTGGATCAATTTCATGTAGTCAGTGTGGTCTTGAACTAACAAATCCATCTACCTCTTAATCCTGAGTCCTGGGATTAAAGATGTGTACCAACACCTCCTCTATGGCTGCTGGGATTAAAGGTGTGTATCACCACTGCCTGACCTTGATAGCTTCTGGCTGACTTTGCTTTCTGAATCCTCAGGCAAGCTTTAATAAATCATAATAATACATCACCACAGACATGGTTCGTGTCCACTAGGATGTTAAGGGAGAAAACTGAAGTGTTATTTTCAGTGCAGTACTGGCCATATCTTCATATGGCCAGACTTGGGAGTAGGGGTGCTGTTTGAGAAGGGTGGGCTCCATACCCCAAGGAAGCCAACCTTTGGTCACCCCGTGTCCCTAGGATAGGGTGGCATGGGACTTGTGCCTGGTGCTGGGGACTACTGGCTTGGGGGAGGGGGTTGAGCATAGACTACAGGGCTTCTGTGTACTTAGGGCTGGTGGCCCTGAGTCTGATGTGCGGATGGGCAGAAAGGGTCTCAGACTGACACTGACAGATGTCACTAGCTAGGAGAGAGCTGCAACAGAGGGGACTCCCGTGCTCAAGCTGTCTCCTGGCTAGAGAGGCACCCTGTATGATGGCTTCTGGAAGCTGAGCTATTTGCCTTCATATGGATAGAGCTGGGCTACCTGATGGATGTCCAGGTGCCACTTCTAGTAGGTGAAGAAGCACACAGTATTGCATCATCACTGCTCCAAAGCAAACAGGCTCATCTACATACCACGGCACCCATGCTCCTACCTGCTCCACCCTTCCTCACCCGAGTTTCCCACTCTCCTGCCCACAGTGCTCACTTGCTGGAATCTCCACCTTGGTTTAGGGTCAGTTTAGCCTATCTCAGCCTTAAAGGGGTAAGCTGGGAACCAGAGCCCTTCCCTTCAGAGGGAGAGCAAGAACTAGAGTAGCTGCCCTTGGGGCTGAGGAAGGCCTCCTTTGTTGCCAGCATCTCCTTTCCCCACGACTTCCTATATCTCCCTTGCTCCCCCAGACTGGGGATTGAACCCCAGTGCTCCACAGTACTCCTGCCTTTCCATCCCTCTTTTGCTGCTCCCCTCCTGGCCACCCTAACCTGCCCGCTGTTTGTTATAGTCACTGCATCCAGCAGATCCTGGAGGCTGTGCTCCACTGTCACCAAATGGGGGTCGTCCACAGAGACCTCAAGGTGAGTTTCCACCCTGCTCTGTGATAGGTTCTGTCCCCCACACCTACAAACTGTGTAAAAGGAGGTGTGGAGTAAGAGGGAGGAGGGGTGTGGAAGTTGTGTGTACACTGTATGCTTGCATGAAGGAGTGTGAGTGCATGTGTGTCTGTCTCTGTACAGGGCCACGTGCACATGCGTGAACACAGAGGCATGGTGCATAAGTACCTGGGTGTGTGCATGCATGTGTGTGCATATATGTGAGATGTAGCTGCACACTTACAACCCAGTGCCTCTGTTGCTGGAGTTGTCAGTCTTCTAGAACCATCCTGTTAACAGATGTATTCTCAGACTCTCACTTTCTAGTCTTCCATCAAGATGCAGTTCTCGAGGGTGAGACACAGGTAACTGGGGACAGGTGACGAGAGTAGGCTTGATCAACTCCTCTCAGATCGCTTTCTAATTCTCTGCTGCCCACAGATAGACAATGGGCTCCAGACTCTGTTAAAAGAAAATTTGTAGCTGGGTATCATGACTCATCCCTTTAATTCCAGTGTCCTGCAGACTGAGGCAAGAGGCTTGGGAGTTCAAGGCTAGCCTAGGCTACATAGCAAGTTTGAGGTCAGCCAAGGCTACATGAGACCCTGCTTTATGAGAAGAAAATAATTGCCTACAAACTCCCAGAAGCCTCCTCTTTTCCTCTTCACCCCTTCTTCCCTGTAACCTCTCCTTTCCCAAGGCCCAGTTCAGCCTGTTGCTGAGTCCACCTGTTTGGGGACAGTATAGATGCCAGTCCTGGCCTAAATGTCTCTAAGGCCAACCTTCCCCTGAGCATTAATGCTGACTGGGATGTTCACTCCTTTCTTAGGTCGTAGGCCAGGGGCCAGTCTTTACAGCTGTCTGGGGAGGGAGTCACACAGAATAGACCTGGAATCTTCCGGGCATCTCTTCACGTGTTCTTGCTTCCTTAAGGGTTCTGCTGTGTCTTATCTGGTATAAGATCCCTGAGATGAGGGGTCCATATGATCCCCATTTTATTGGGTACAGGCACCCTGTTCCTGGAGAATTAACATTGAGGCTGAAGCACAGAAGAGGACATATGTGTTCCCTCAGGTTTCCAATCCTGGACAAACAAGATCTTCCTGTGGAGAGGATAGAATGTCTCTCCTTTCCAGGAGAGAAATCCTCCCATCTTGATGAGGGAGACCCACAGATGGCACAACAATAGATTGATGCTACACAGTCACTCAAGGCAGGGAGAGCATGGTTAGTGGTGGCTGTGAAGGAGCAGCCCAACCTTTGTGGCCCAACTTCTGCCTCCTCCAAGGTCCCGGACTTTCTTGCCTTGCACCTTCTAGGGACCCTATTTGCTTGACACATCTTCTCCACCATCATTTCCTGTAGGAAGGGGTGGGGGGCCTAGAGTGAAGCTTGGGGCCCCTGCCATGCTCACAAAATGGGCGAGGCTGAGCATGACCCCTGCCTATCTTCAGCGGGGAGAGAGTTCTAAGGGGTCCGTAGCTTTGGTCTTGCCTACTTGGCACTCACAGCTAGAGCTCTAGTCTGCCGATAGGCCCAGAGCACCCAACTCAGGAAGCCCACATCTTTCTGTATAGGGTGGGTACACTTTGATTCCAAGAGCCGCCATTATGCCATGTAAAGTCTCTGAGACAGATAACAAAAGCAGTGGTCCAGCTGTGGTATAATCCCAGGAGTGGAGTGCCCTCTGTGGAATGGTGAGGGTGCCTATGGGTTTGCCAAGGAGATCTGAGGGCTGAAGAGGCCCCTGGTGATCAGGAGCCAGGAGCGTCCTGCTGAGCTCTGAGTACTGCCCAGAGACACAGGCCAGAACTCTACTGTGATGGGAGGTTGGACAAAAAGGCCAGGGAAAGCAGCAACAGAGAAGGCTCTCAGCCCTCGACAACCCAAAGACAACAACCTCTCTGGCAGCTTCTTCAGGACGAAGCAAATGTCCCTCCAGCTGAATCAAGACTGTTTTCCCCCTAAGGAGGCTTTTCTCACCTGTGGATGCAGACAACCTTTCAGTCCAGTGTGGCAGTGCTGACTGGAGCTGGGTGGGACTTGGTGGGTGGGCTATGCCTGGCAGGTAGATGCCCTGGGCTGACCCAGGCATTGTAGCCCTGGATGTTCCTCCATGCCCTGTGAAGGCTACTGCCCAAACCCCTGAACTCTCCGCCATGTCTGAATCGAGAGGGGCAGGACTCTCCATCAGTGGGGCAGTCCTGTAGCCCAACGGTGGGAACTGTGGTGGTTGTTTGTGAGGGTGACCTGCGGGTTTTGTTCCCACTTTAGGAAGCAGGATACCCAAGTTCAAGCTAAGAGCCAGCTTCTCTTTGAATGACTAGGATGGCTGTCCTTGTCCCCGGAGAGGAATCAGGCTATAGCGTATAGATCTAGGACTCAGTAGTGCCCAAGGATACCCATATTGGGAGGCAGGCTATGCCGCTCTGTCCCACAAACTGCTGCCATCTCTGTTTTGTCCCCTGATCCCCCACATCTGCTCTCGGTGTGAACACTGTGCCCTGATGGCTGTCTCCCTGTAGCCCGAGAACCTGCTTCTGGCCAGCAAATGCAAAGGGGCCGCAGTGAAACTGGCAGACTTCGGCCTGGCCATCGAGGTGCAGGGAGACCAGCAGGCGTGGTTTGGTGAGTGTCAGGGGGTGGGCAGGGAGTACTGGCAGTTCCTCAGGGCCCTTCATGGTCCCTTTCCCTTTGATAGGATTTGCGGGAACGCCGGGCTACCTGTCCCCTGAGGTCCTTCGGAAGGAAGCATATGGGAAACCTGTGGACATCTGGGCATGTGGTAAGACCTGTGTGTGAGAGGCCATTGGGTTGCATGATGAATGTGTGGTCGTGTACCTCAGGGCTTACTCCCTCTGTCCCAGAGTGTGCAGGTGGCTGGCTTGTCCCACCCTGAGCCAAGTGTGTGTGTCAGACCTGCATTTGGGCTGCCTTGGCAGGGATCTCAAACCCCAACTAGAATTACCAATGTGCCCCAGGCCATTATGTTTGTCTGCCTGTGCTCATTATAGGTCTGTGTCCAGAGCAAGTGGACACCAGGATACAGGGACCAGGGGCTGTCAGACCACAGGCTCCTTAGGTGGGATCTTCTCTTTCTGGTGGGCATATAGCAGAGGCGGCTGGTCAGGCTCCCTAGTAAAGTAGGGTGGAGATGGAGCAGGGATTAGAGGCTGTTAGAGCCATGCTCCCCATGGCAGGGGAGGGGCAAGGGGACACTGAGGACTGACCCTGGTGCCCTCCAGGGCTATGCTGCTCACCTCCCCATCCACAGGGGTGATCCTGTACATCCTGCTGGTGGGCTACCCACCTTTCTGGGATGAGGACCAGCACAAGCTGTACCAGCAGATCAAGGCTGGGGCCTATGATGTGAGTGGGTGCCGGTGCGGAGGGTGGGGACTGCCACATCCCGGTTCTCCCTTCCTCTTCATGGCCTCTGCCTGGGGAGGGGCTTCAGCCTTGCCCTGTGCACCACTTCCTCCTGTAGTTCCCATCTCCCGAATGGGACACCGTTACTCCTGAAGCCAAAAACCTCATCAACCAGATGTTGACCATCAACCCTGCCAAGCGCATCACGGCCCATGAGGCCCTGAAGCATCCATGGGTCTGCGTAAGTCATCCTTGGCAACCTCTAGGGGCCAGTTCCTGGTGGGCATATCCAGGGCCCCCAAGATAGCTCTGGGGGTCTGTTCCTCGAGTCTGACCACTCCCCTGGTCTGCGAAGGACAAGACTTGAATTTGGGAATAAGTTGGGGACTGCAGGTGGGAACAAGTGATCTCTAGTTGTCATGGTGGCTGGCAGCACTCAGTGTGCAGGCCCTAGAGTGCCACTACCAGGAGCCAGTCTCCTAAGCCTGCTCCTCACTGCCCTGTGACTTCCCTTCTCCTGACAGCAACGCTCCACAGTGGCTTCTATGATGCACAGACAGGAGACTGTGGAATGCCTGAAGAAGTTCAATGCCAGGAGGAAGCTCAAGGTAAGCATGCCTCAGCCCCCATCTGCCTGTCCCAGGGGGCCCCATGCTGCATGTGGGACATGGAGAAGAGTCGTAGGGAGGAGCCCCCAAATTTGTGCCCATTTACAAGTCCAGGGACTCCAGATGCTGTGACAGCTCAGAAGGTCATGGCCCTGCACGAAGAGCTGGCCACTTCAGCATCCTAGGGACAGGTGTACTGGCCAAGAGCAGTCCTGGTGGGCTCAGCAGGTTGGGGAGGCAGGTAGACAGGGCTGATCCTGATCATTGCTATCCAGTCAAGGCCAGGGCTAGGCCCACGAACCTTTGCTTGCTTGATTGAGTTTCTCCAAAGTCCCAAGGATAGCCCTGACTGCTCTGGGCCAGAGGAGCTGTCATGGTGGCAGGCCTTCCTGGTCATGCCCATTTCTCAGGAGTCTTGATGCTGTGATTGTGGGTAGTGTGAGCCTTAACTATGGACATGGTGACTTGCCTCTGTGCTGCTAGGTTCTGGAACTCTTACTTCTCCAGAAGGCTGGTGTGTGTGTGTGTGTGTATGTGTGCGCGCGCGCGTGCGTGCGTGCGCGTGCGTGCGTGCGTGCGTGCATGCATGCATGCGCGCGCAGGATACAGAAACTAACAGGGTGACTCTGGCTCTGTTTCTCCTTAGGGAGCCATCCTCACCACTATGTTGGCCACACGGAATTTCTCAGGTGAGACACTCTTCTCCAGGGAGGACCATGTTTCAGAGCCACTCTCATTCTACAGAAAGCCCCCTCCTTCCTCACCAGCCCTCAGTCCCATTCCTCCAAGCCCTCACCTCCAAGACCCACTTCCCAGAAGGCCTTTTGGCTTCCTCATTGGGTAGCTACTAAGGTCTGCCACGCTCCAATCCCACCACCTCCATGTTGTTGGGTCTGTGTCCCTCACCTGACGCCCCAGTGTCTGTTCTGCCGATACCTGGCCTGCCGCCTGTATCCATCCAAGCATCTGTTGGGCAGCCCTGTGGCCTCCTTGTCCTCGGCACTCGAAGCATCGTGTTGTGTGTGGGAGATAGCTGAAGACGGGTGGGTGCAATTGAGGTCCGCGCACAGGGAAACCTCATCAGTTCTGGACGGGCCGCCTACCCAGGTTGTTCAGGGTGGGTGATGGGAAAATGAAGTCTCAAGGGTCTGTTAGAGACCCATGGGACCCACCTGGGGAGACAGTGTTGGCCCTAGTGCCCAGACAGCTATGTCTGTGGCTTCTTCGTCGTCTGACACTAAGTGTGCGAGCGTTCATGGTCGTCTCTCCTTGTCCGTCTGCATCTGGTACCCTGCCTCCTGTTACTTTGCTGTGATGCTGTACTGCCGGGAATGGGCACACAGTCACACCAACACTAATGGGACTGTCCTGTCTGCTGTGTGCCCCGCATGCCCCATCGGGCACAAGAAGCCCCGTTGGGGTGTTCTAAGGAGAAAGGAGGCAAATGCTTTTCCGTGTCTATCGGCCCAATCTTGTTTCACTCTCCTGAGAAAGGGATTCTGGAGCCATCCCCCACCTAAACTTTAACTCTAATCTTCTTCTGCTTCCTTTGTCTCTTCTCTTTCCTCACCTTGCCCCACCCCGTCTGTGTCCGCCCCCTTCCCCCCCTCGTCTCTAACCTGGTGCTAACAGTGGGCAGACAGACCACCGCTCCGGCCACAATGTCCACCGCGGCCTCCGGCACCACCATGGGGCTGGTGGAACAAGGTAGATGTGTCTTGCCCAGTGTCCACCTGCTCCTGCCCATCCCTCCTGTTGGCATGCAGCCCCCCTGCTGCACGCAGCCACTGGCCAGGACCCCAGAGCCTCCCCAGAGGCTGGCAGCCCCTGGGGAGCTCTGCCCCTGCCACAGTCACATCCCAGCAGAGCCCCCACCCTGGGCAATAAGGCTTCCCCTTGCTCCTGTCTCATTGTCTGTAAGAGGAGAGGCCACATCAAATCCCAGATGCATTTGGCTGAGACCCTCTGGTCCTGGCCTCTGGGAGTCTGGAGACCCAATTCAGAATGACACTGACCTCACAGGAAGTCACTGAACCTGCTACTGGGGGGTCTCAGTCCTGGAAGGGGAGCCCTTAGATCAAGGTTAGGGAGGTAAGGATGTCCCAAGGAGCTGTAAGGTCTAAGGCCAGTTCTTCCCTAGGGGCAGATGGATCTGGTGGTCTGTGCTACGGAGTTCCTCAGAGTGAATGTGGGGATGGTGTCAGTGTCTGGGACTGAAGATTCTTTCTGAATCACTTCTTACTTGGTCCCAAACCCCCTGATGGAGGAGGTGGCCTCTGAAAACCTGTTCATTTGGATGGTGTGAGACCCTTTGGGAACTAAGTAACCCTGAGGCCTCATCACAGCCACCATCCAGACTGAGAGCTGGCAAGCAACACACAGGGTCAGCCAAGTTTCAGTTTCCCCCACAGCCTCCAGTGTGGGCTGAAGGTAGAGCACAGGTTTCACAGCTTGAGGTCCAGCTCTTTCCACATGCCTGCCTGGGTCCACCTTGCAATTCCCCCAGGGCTGCACAATGTTTTGCCAGCTAGAGGACCCTTCTGCTGGAGGATGCTCAGGTCATTCTAGGAGGAGTCTGTTCTGCCCACCCGGACCCAGTGTGGATGGTCCCATGTCCATTTTTTATAGCCTTTTTGAAGCCCATAAGGGGCTAGGTTCATTAAAAAAAAAAAAAAAAAAGATGAAGTTAGTGGCTGCCAGGGAGGCCCTGTTGCCAGGGGACAGTGGTGTGAGACAGGTCACCTGCCCTGTATGAGCCATACTCTGCCCAAGACTCCTGCTGCAATGCTCGCCTGCCTGCAAGTGAGCGAGGGCAACCTTGCATGAGGCTGCCTGCATGTTGTGGCTCTGTCCCAGGTGCTGAGGGTCACTCTGTCCTGGAGGGAGGCCAGTGCATGTCAACAGAGCTCAGCATGGCTGTCCATAGTGACTAGATAGTGGGTGAGGCAGAGCTGAAGGTCCCATCTACTCCATCAGGTTGGCCCAACCATACAATAAGGACACATGTTGGGGGACTCCCTTCTTCATGTCTCTGTCAGACACTGCAGTGTGGCAGAGAACCTCGGACAGCAGGAAGACCCTTGCTGTAGAGTGTTGCCGTCTGGCTTCCACCCTCCCTCCCACATTGAACAGATATGTGCCTTGTGACTGTCAGGCTGGCTGTGGGTTGGGAGGAATTGCTTGACCTGAGGCCTGGGAATGGAAAATATCCTCCTGAGTAGGAGGAACAGGCCTAGGAATCTGGAATCCTATGGTAGTTGAGTCCACTTTTGGCTCCGGCTGCACCTACTAAATTCTTTTTACTAGAGACACCCCAAAAACGCCTCCTCTGCCTCTGAACTGTGGTGTGAGTGATGTGCACAGGTTCCTGAGTGCAGTGAATCATGGTTAGTTCAGGGCAGATGTGAGTGTGGTGAAACACAGTCTCTAGGAAGCATGCGGCCAGGGCTAATGCAGTCAAGGAGACTGGATCATGCACCCCAGGCTGGGTCTGGAGCACACATGGGCTCCTGGTGAGAAGAGCAGGAAGAACGCCGAAATGCCACTGATGTCGGCCTGGGTTTTCTAGGCCTGAGCCATTAACATGGCTCACCCGGGTCCAAGTTTGCGATATATCATGTCCACCTCCAAATAAACCCTGTTCTCTTCCCACAATTAACTTAATCTCCAGTAGCACAGCTTGGAACTGTGGTTTTGATAGACTTGGGGACTTAAATGGAACCCTTCTAAGATCAAGGACAGTTCTGGTGTCTCGGGGCCTAACCCTTCCAGTGTGTCTTTTCCTGTGAGAATCCTCCAAGGATGTCTGAGGGGTACTGAGACACCACCACTGAATCTCAGACCAATACTGGTTCCAGCTCAGAATCCACCAGGGATATGCTGGGTTGGATGTATGGTCTGCTGCTCAAACCTGCCTTCTGCAAACTGCCTGTTGAAATTGTCACATCTTAGAAATGTTCCTCTTCCCTTGCTGCCCAGAAAGCCATGACAAGTACACCCAAGACAGGACTATCTGATTTCCTTGGGCTCCAGGGAGGACCCTGTCATCTCCAGCAGAGAGCAGATATCAGGCTGAAGCCTTAGCAGCAGAGGAGTCGGCACTCACGCCAGGGCGCTCACACCAGGGAGCCCATGTCGCTGGTGCAGTGCTGGTGTCTCTAGGGATGAGCCATGTGGGAGGATGGAGAAGAGAAGGGGCAGCACCCACAGACAAGCAGGAGGGATATGAGAGGGCAAACTGGCCTGTCTCTAACTCTAGGGAGAGTCTAGCCACAGTGCCAGCTGTGCTTCACGATCCACTCTGCAGGGAAGTCAGCATTTCTAGCTCTAGGAACCCTCCTTGGGGCTGCCTTGGGATGGAGGGTCTATGGGGCCCCAGGCCTGAAGATGACATGTGAGGTTCAGGGTCACTTCAAAGAGACCTGCTTGTAACAGAATTTTTGAGACAAGTACCAAAAACTCTGAGTGGGGAAAGCTGTAGGAAACCAGTGCCCACCACAGCGGTCGGTGCTCAAAAGCCCTTCAGGTTCCAAGATAGTACGTGGCTCCAGGTAGCCGTGCCCCCATGCCCAGCATAGAGAAAGCCTGGACAGGCTCAAGTTGCATGATTTGACTGGTGAGGGAGGCAGTCAGCAGGCAGCAGCGGGGCCTGGTTCTGGTCTCTGGAAAGAGTCACCCTCAGAGCTGTAGGAAGATACAGAACCCTTCAGAATTTTTACTCAAGAAGGTGTGGCCTAGAAGTTTGCATTTCTGATCACAACAGTAGCATTGCTGCTGTGACAGAATACCGTGTTTGACTGTGTTACAACCCTAGGACTAAATATGCTGCCCCCATGTCCCAACCGGGTCTGCTGTAGGCAGCATAGGTTCCCCTAGTAGGCATAGCTGCACAGGTTATTGTGGGAAAGGGCCCTGGGGACAAGGAGCTGCGTACCCCACCATGCTGTGCCAGCCATGGCTGCCTCTAACCTGCTGCACTGGCCACACGGCCACTTGACTCTTCTTGGGGAGCACTGGGCCAGGACAGGCTGGCTTTGCCGCCCCGTGTGGGGCCTTTCTGAACCAACACAAATCTTGTTTTCTCTCTCTTCCTCTCTCCCTTCCTCACTCCCTCCTCTCCTCATCTTTCCTTTTCTGTAAGGTAAGCTGACTTCCTCTCTCGCTCTCTATTTTGGTTGTTTTAATTCTGTGATTAAATTCTAAGCTCTGCTGTAGAGGACGTAAGTGCTGGGAGTGAAGGGTGGGGCAAAAGTAGGACCATCCTGATCTCTGCAGGGAATGTTGGAACCAAGGGTTCCATCTGCTGAGCCCAGGTGTCTGCCAGGGCTTGTGGGCAGAGGCTGGTATTGGCCACAGTGGTCACAGCCACCAAGTGGTCTCATGGCAAGGACTGCTGGGGCCATTCAAGGGGAGGACAGGGAGGCCAAGCGGTGTAGCCCTGGTGCAGAGGTTTGTTGCCCATCAGAAGATGGAGGGATGGGAGCTGGGACAAGCCCTTTGGTGTGACAGCCGCTTTGGCTCACCATCCTCGTGGGAACACGGGACTGCAGAGGGCAGAGCAGGTTGAGCATGACTTTCCCTTTGCACCCTGATGCCTACCAATCCTGACCTGGCGCCGTCCTGGGGAGTGGGGGCAGGTCATCCTGCCAGCCTCTCAGGATGACCTGAGAGGACAAGGAGGCTCCTGAGTGCCTTGCTCCAGAACCACTGAAGATGCTGGGGGCAGGGTGGTCCTGGATGAGGCTCCCTGGGCAGTCTGGCTCAGCACCTGTGGAGGTTCTGCTGCTGCTAGGGCCAGGCCAGATGTCAAGGCCATACCTGCCCTCAGGCTACTGGACCTCAGGTCCTGAGCTTCACTCCTGAAGAAAGGGAAAGGGTCGGGGAGGGGCAGGGGCTACAGTGACCCTAGGCCCTCAGAACTCACGATCCCTCCTTCCTTCCCAATGCAGCAGCCAAGAGTTTGCTCAACAAGAAAGCAGATGGAGTCAAGGTGAGGCACTAACTAAGCCCTTTGTGGGATACAGGGGAGGATGCCAGAGCCTGCAGCTCTGCTGATGACCTCAGGGTTCTAACTTGAGAGGCTTGTCCATGGCCCTGCAGCTACTGGGGCAGGGAGGGTCTGCTTTCTTCCCTAGTGACTCTTTTTTCCCCTCTCTCCACAGCCACAGACAAACAGCACCAAAAACAGCTCGGCCATCACCAGCCCCAAAGGATCCCTCCCTCCTGCTGCCCTGGTACTGAGCCCCCGCCCCTGCCTCATCTCACTGACAGAGAGGCCTTGCAAGGCAGGGTCTGGTGAGACTGCCTGTCTCTGACCAAATCAGTCCCACATGGAGACAGAACAGAATGGCATGGACTAGGGATTCAAATCCCATGAGGAGATGCAATGGTCGGAAGGGCCCCAGATCAGGCAAGACTGCTTGGTGAGCCCTTCCCTGGGACCTTGAGGTACCCAGGTGCTGGAGAGAGATATGGCTTCCAATCTGTGGTGACTTTTGGACCACCCTGCCTCAAGAAGCTCTTGTGAAAGGCCATCAGGATGCCACTGAGGGGGAAGGCCAGTGGCCTGCTGTGCATCCCTGTCCTCTTCAAGGCCCACTCGCCTTGTACATCTGGCCAGTTTAGCTTGGGGCAGGGTTTCAGACTGGGATCTTCAGGGATTGCACCCTGGAGTATTGCGTCTTGAGTTTAATGAGGAGCAGTAGGGCCATGGTTCTGTGATGGGAGCTGTGTGGTTGAAGGAACAGTGGTCTTGTCCGTCTGGGACTATTTTTATTGAAGCCATGTACCATGCTGGTCTGTAGATTACAGAGAAGGAAGGCCAAGGGTGTTCATGATACCCTACTATATTCCTTCTTGTTTCTTGAGAAGGCACTGGGCCAACTCTGTCCTCTGGCCCCCTTGCCCTGGGTGACTTGTTCAGGTGAATGTCACATCCCAGGGATGTGGAGCTGTGCTCTCAGGCACCAGCCTTCTGAGCTGTGGGTCATGGGGCTGGAGTCTGAAGTAGTATGGTTGGTATCCCCCCACAGTCCCCAGGCAGGTATTCCCCATAGGAAATCTGGTTTTGCCAAATCAGGGGAAAACAGAAGAGATCTATCCTGGCAGGAGTCAAGGAGTTGCTCAGAGCAGTGGGGCTATGGCAGGAGGGTGCCAGGCGTCAGCTCACCTGGTGCCTGGGGTGGCTCACAGCGGCCTCACAGCCAGCCCCACCTTGGACCCCGTGCATCCCATGACCACCCCAACCCCCACAACATTTCTAATCCTGTGCCCACTCCTATGCTGGGGCGGGAGGTGGGGAGAACTCCCAGAGCCCACACACGTCTAGTTTCTCTCAGGCCCTGTGATCTCCATCTTTCCTGGCCTCTGGCCTGGCAGATCTGCTGGTTCCATCATGTTGAGCCTACTCTACACCCACCCAGGGCCATTGCTGACCGCCTGCTGCCTCCATCCCTACTGGGCCATCTTGCTGACCGCCTGCCTCCTCCATCCCTGTCCCTCTGCTCTACACTCTCTCTGGGCAGACCCTGGTTGCTGCCCACTCCTCTGGCTCCCTGGCTCCCCATCCTCTGCTTTCTTCTTTCTCACTCCCTCTCTTTCTTTCCTTCCTCTGTCTGCTGCCCTCTATAGGAGCCTCAAACCACCGTTATCCATAACCCAGTGGACGGGATTAAGGTACTGCCACCACCTCACTCCTCACCCTTTCCTTGGGCAGGAGGTATGGGCCCAGGAGGAGGGTGTGGACGGTGACCTGGGAGAAGCATTTGTGCCTATGACAGACAGAGAGCAGATGTGTAGTGACCTGACCCCACAGGTAGGGCAGAGCCCACAAGCCTACCTGCCTGGGGCCGTGGCAGGACACAATGACTCCACTGAAGAGAGCTCCTCACACAGCTTCAGGAGTGCCACCTTCTGCAGGCCCTGGGGTCGGTCTGTTTCTCAGGAGCCTCGTCCCTGCTCGACTGCTCTCCGCCTTCACCCCCAGTGTGGCCCCAGCACTTCCTGCTCCTCTCTGCTCTGCCATCTGCTCCCATCACATTGGCATCATCACCTGGGGCCGGGAGGGGCTGGCTTTCTGTGAGGTGGGAGAGATGGGCAGGTGTTGGAACCATTTACAATACAGCAACTGTGCTGGGCTGGCAGGTCAGACATACCCAGGCTTAGGCTCCCCAGTGATCTGACGAGGTAACACAGTGGGTACCCCTACTTCCTTAGGCCAGAATCTGCACCTGGCTCTTCTCCATGCCAGGAACCAAGGGCAGCTATATACCCACAGTTTTAAACACCAAATGTCTGTTTTCCTCCCACTTGAGTGACTGCTACCCTTTGGGTCCTCAGGTCAGGTCAGGTCATACTTCATACTCTTTCTGAGGAACTACTAGTCAACCTTCGGGGCCAGGGTAAGGCCTGGCCTTATATTTGAAGACCCTCAGTTTTATCCCAGAGCCACGTTCAGTCGGTGTCTGTACCAAAGACCCGTGAATGGTTTCTTTGGTTTCCTGGGGTCATAGTGGCTTAGAGATGCTCAGACATCAACTGTCACGTGAAGGTGGCAGAAGCTGGGCCTTGCTGAAGTTCCAGGCCTAGGCGGGGCAGAGGCATTGGAGATCTCATCTCTTCTGGGGGAAGGTGTCCCTCACCTAAAAGCTGCCAACCATGTCTGCACACTGCCCAGGTTTCGGGCCTTCTATCTCTAAAAGTCAGTCAAGCCCCATGTTTTTCCATCTTGAGATCCCAAAAGGTCTGCTCTCAGAGTCAGCTGTGTGTCTCAGAGTCTCTTGGGGAAGGTGAAGTTGAAGCCTTTGATGTTGGAAATTTAGTGGCCTGCAGGGGACAGAATGAGCCCTGGGGTGGAAGCCCTCCTGAGAACATACACAGCTAGAACTTTCTCCCCAGCCACTTGGAGGGGCTGTCCCGTGAAACCCTCAGGAGTAGCCAGGTATAGGTCCTACCCGGAACCCAGGCTGACTTCACCATTAGAGGTGTCCTGCCTGTCCCTGGCCACATCTTGACCGCTGTCTCTCTGTTTCCTCAGGAGTCTTCTGACAGCACCAACACAACCATAGAGGATGAAGATGCCAAAGGTACCTTCATGGAGGTCTCACCTGCTCATGCTGGGCTATGGTTTGGGCAGTGGGTGGGGACTTCTGCTGTGCAGGCCATGGTACAGTGGTTCAGGGGCCTTCCTGGTGTGGGCAGGTGTGAGTCAGGGCCTGCCTGGTGTGAGTCGAAGCATGTGTGGGATGTCATGGCTGGGGTATCTCAGGCATAGTACACATGTGAGGAAGCCACGGTTCTCCATTCTGGGAGCCAGGAACTCGGTTCTCACAGGGTATGGAGTGCGTGGGTAATATTGGATCAAGATACTATTCTTCTCTTAAATTTCCTAAGTGTTGGTTCTGTCCATCTTGCCAGTGATGAGTGGCCAGGTGGCTGAAGTGTTCTGTTTCCTTTGATGACTCAGGAGCTCCCTCTTGAGGTGGGCTTCAGTGCCACACCCTGAGCCCTACCAGTGATGTCCTACAGATGTCCCTAGGGCACCAGCTATTAGTGAGTGGCCTCCCAGACTCTCCCACTTTCTCTGCCCTCCTGGAAAGAGGTCTGGCAGCTCCAGGCTGTCCATTGAGTCCTAACCTGCCCTTAGGATGGCCCCTTAGGATGGTCAGAGTTTACCCATTTGCTCCTCCCCAGCTATGATCTGTCCCTGTGTGTCCTCCACACTCCAGAATGGGCATTAGCACAGGACATTGGTCCTTGAACCCAGGAGCACCCACTGCCCTACAGGCTGAAGCAGACCCCAGAGTCAGCAGCAGGGATGCTACCCATACCTCTGTGTCAAAGGTTCTATCCTTGAGCTGGCCAGTGGGACACTGAGCTATGAGGGAGGTGGCTTGGCCTCAGGCTTGCAAGGAGACAGGAGCAGCAGACCAGCAGCACATGAGGCTTGGAGTTAAAGCAGAAGCCAAGGTTAGGGGAAGCCTCGGGAATGAAGGGCAGGGGCACTCTTACCTCAGCCATGTACCAGAGCTGGGATGCAGCAGCTAGGACAGTTCCCAAGGCCACCATGCTCAGTGAGGACCACTCTAAAATCCTAGCCTAATCTTTTCAGGGCCTGACACAGGCCCACAAAATGAGCCCTTCTAACACCTATGGGTGCCCCCAAGAGTGACCTCCTTACCTCTGCCCGTAGGTCCCGGCAGTGGCCTGGGATTCTACACTGTAACCTTTCCAGCTGCCCTGTGCCTTTGGCTCTTTCTGCCACCTTCTGTCTTGAGTGTCTACCATCCACCGCTTGCTTCTGTTCTGCCTCAGCCCCCAGGGTCCCTGATGTCCTGAGCTTGGTGAGGAGGGGCTCAGGAGCCCCAGAAGCCGAGGGCCCCCTGTCCTGCCCATCTCCAGTTCCCATTAGCCCCCTTCCAGCCCCGTGTAAGTAGCCTGGGCCCCGCTGCTGTGGAGATGACTTTGAAGGCCTGGCAACCCTGAGGGGACATTCAAGAGCCAAGGACTGGACAGGCCTGGATTCCTGTTTCTAGCCCTACCTTCACACAGCCCCCAGATTGGGGCTCCCCATGGCTGCCTCTGTCCAGCCAGAAACCTCTAATGGTCTGTGGAGATGCTGTCATAGCTCACTCCCTTGCTCATGACCATTAGATGGTCCCTGAAGGATTTGGCCTTGACTTCTAGGCCTCCAGGGCCAACCCAAACTGCCCTCTACCCCACCTCTGAAGGTTTCTTGCTTCTGAGACTGGCACCAAATAGGAAGCCAAGTCCCAGATTCCCTTCTGGTGAGAACAGGGACCCTTCTTGCCTCTGTCCTGTCAATTCTGTCGTCTCCTCATGTCTGTCTGCCTTGTGTTCATGTGTGTCTGTTCCACCCCAGCCCCCAGGATCTCTGACATCCTGAACTCGGTGAGAAGGGGCTGTGGAACCCCAGAAGCCGAGGGACCCCTATCAGTGGGGCCCGCACCCTGCTTGTCTCCGGGTCTCCTAGGCCCCCTGCCCACCCCGTGTAAGTAGTAGTCCCCAGACTTGCTGCCTCTGCTACCAAGGGCTCGCTGAGAATGGCCAGCGCTCAGCTTCTTGCACCTGCCATGCACGGCCAAGCTCTCCCAAACCAGGATGCCTGATGGGTGTCTAGTCTGACTGGCCTTATTCAAGGCACATGCGATAACACAGCTGGGCAGCTACCTGGCTTCTCCTTCTCGGCCCAGAGCCTCTGACTCATCTCCTTCCCCTACTCCTCCCCTGCACGATGCTCGCCTCACTCCATCTCAGGCCCACCCCTGCATAATAATTAGTTGGGGTCCCTCAGACCATCTCTGCCATTCACACCCTGCCCTGCTCTAGTCACAGTGCCCCAGAGCATGTCTGCAGAGTAGCCCCTGATTCTTGATGTACGCTGTCCCTGAAGAGCATTCACTAACCAAGGCAGGGGAGGTCAAGGAAGGTGTCAAATGGGAACCTCAACCAGGGCCTTGTAGGCAAGGAGACATTCAAAAGAGAAGCCTGGCTTTCCACTGTCCTAGGCTTTCCACATGGCCCCAAACTGTGCCTCCTCTGAACATCCCTCCTCCCCTCCATCCAGTCCTCTGCCCCCCCTGTCAAGTACTTACTGCTCAAAGGTCAGTCACTTGCATCGACGGCCTCTGGCTTCTTGGGGGCCAGGTTGCCTTTGCTTGGAGGGTATCCTCTGCCCTCAGCAGCTTCCGGATCCACACACTAGAATGGACAAAATCATCTGCACCCTCCATGTCTCCTTCTACAACATTTATGTCCCCCACACCCCACTCTGTCCTCCCCAACCCCTGTGTCCTGGTGCCCTCACGTCTCCCCCTGGCCTCCCCTACTGTCTGGCTTGGCTCTCTGTAGGTTTCTTCCCTGCATGTTCCTCCTGCCTGTATTCATGTGTGTCTGTTCTGCCCCAGCCCCCAGGATCTCTGACATCCTCAACTCAGTGAGGCGGGGCTCAGGGACCCCAGAAGCTGAGGGCCTCCCACCAGTGGGCCCCCCACCCTGCCCATCTCCGACTCTCCCTGGCCCTTTGCCCACCCCATGTAAGTAGCACTTTAAGTGACCCTGACAGCTCCATGGAGGAGCAAGCCCCCACTGTGGTACATGGCCAGCCAGCCTGACTCTGGGAATAACCCAACAGGTGAAGAAATGGGGGACACAGCATCTGTCAGGTCACAGCAAATTATGCCAAAGTAGGTGAAGGAAGTTGCAGGTTTCAGTAAATACAGACATAAAGTGTGTGTGTTTGTGTGTGAGCTCATGGGTGAAAAAAGCTCCCCAAACACTTTACTGACCTGGAGTCCTTGCTACCATGCAGCCACCACTTTCTGATAGGTGGTGAGCAGGTGCCCATCAGTGCACGAGGAACCCTTGAGAGAGGGCTGCTTGGGCGAGAGGTGATCTTCCTGGACAAGATGACAGGGAAAGAAACTCCTGGGAATTCTGGCATGCTGGCTGCCAGGCTGGACGTTACAGGGGAGGGGGGTGCAAGCGGGGCTAAGGATGAATTAGGGAGAGAAGCACAGGCAGGTGGCTCTTCTGCTTGTCTGTCGACTGTCTGCCAGTATCACTTACAGGGATGGATGACATCCAGGGCTGCAGCCACCGCTGCCCCCGCCTCCGGGGAGACACAGGGCTGGGGGTGGCGCTGAGATGTTTTCAGAGAAGAGGCTGCTGGGCCAGGGCCTCAGCATGGCAGGGCAGTGGCTGGGTGAGTAGCTGTGAGAGGTGGGCTTGGGGCATCCTACCCCATCACCTCTGCCTGTTAGGCCAGAGTGGGGCAGGGTGTTGCAGGTAGTCAGAGCAGAGAGGCAGTCACAGTGGCGCACAAGGGTGGGCATCCACAGTTTGCAGGTTCAGAGGGGCAAGGGGCAGCCTGTGGAGGGTGTGAACCCCCTAGAGCATTCCATGGTCAGCTGAGAGAATCAGGTGAGTTATGAGGCACGCAGCCAAGTTATTTCTGGTGATGGGGTGAGGGGGCAGGGTTGGGGGTGATAGCAGCTGCTACTCTCAAAGCGTGGAGGGAATGCTCTCCAATGGTGGATGCAAGACAGCTCCAGGATAGCACTGGGGTGTTCTCTCGTCTGATCTCAAGGGCCACACTGTTTTTGTTTGGGGTCATCCTGGAACATGATCTACCATTGGGATCCTATGCAATGACCAGGTGGCTGCTGTAAGGCCAGGTCTGTGGGGAGCACCAAGTGACAGTGTCACTTTAGAGGCTATGACACTGATCTGCCCTTGTGAGGTCTATGCTGTGCTTGGCTAGGTAAAGGGTCCTTGAGGGGGCTGTGAGAATGACTGACTGGTAGCATCTGGTCACCCTGTGAAGGGCTGGGCAGAAGAAATGAAAGAGATATTCAGTAAAATATAGGGAAATGTGTGTGATGTCAGTGGTATTGGGTCCCCCTTTCCTGGGAAGGTTACAACCCACCAAGTTACAGGTTCCCATCAGTCCTCTTCAGGCTCAAACCCCTCCCCACCCCGCGCTCTCTGTACCCCAGGCCTCACTACCTAATCAGGGATTACACAGGATTCAGGCTGATCCTGGCTGATCCCTACTCAGCTGCCCTGCCTGCCAGCTGTGAGGGTGGGGGCTTTGGGGCAGTGTCAGGGACACAAACCTTCACTGGTCCGACCCAGATGCTTGACTTCCCACAAGAGAGCTGTGGACAGAGTGAGTCTCCCACTCTGGGCCCCAGCCAAACCCTGCCTGCTCTCTGGCTTCTTCCCTAGTCTTGCAAGGTACAGGGGCCGCTTGCCCTTGGTCTCGGGCTTCTCCACCTGGGTTCTCCCCATATGCAGGGCTTCTTGGTCCCTCTCTCATGTTCGGTTTCTACTGGTGTCTGGGCAGTAGCCATTGAGCAGGTCAGGAGGTGTCCGGCTGCTCATAGGAGGCTGTTCATAGTGGCTCTCTAAAGAATGCCATTCCCAGCACATTCTGACTGGTGTTGTGATCATGGATCTCCTCTTAGTTTATTTAGCATTGACTCCCACAGTCTAACTTCATTAAACAGAAAGTTAATCCACTTACCACAGTGGAAGGTAGAAGTAAAGCATGTTTGAAATGAAGCAGTAGTGTTACTTAGTTCTAGTCATTTTTGTCATGTGCTATGTGCTCCTGTAGAGGAATGGGGCAGCTGAAGCTATTAAAAGGGGTTTAACAAGCCCCAGAGGATACTTAGGACATGTGGAGTGCAGAGTGGAAGCCTGGTTTTGGGGAAGGAGCTAGCTGCAAGTGTAGAAGCCAGGTCAGAAGCCTGAGGGTTTCCAGAAGGAGGAGATGTGAGGGGGTTGTGAGGTGCCAAGGACAATGACCACTGGGAAGAGCAGGTGCTGCTTTAGGGACCGAGGTATCAGATGCTGCCCTGGGATCCAAAAGGTAAGAACAAGAAGAGCTGTTTGGTGTTTGGGACAGAGCCTTGGTACTCTTGCAGAGTTGGGTACATGGGTGTGTGGTTAGGAATGGGAACAGGAAGGAAAGGGGCTCACAGCCCCCAGCCTAGAGTCAGCATTTCAGGGTGACCTTGTTGTTAGTGGGGGTGGGCAAATAGTGATGACCTCACCCTGAGTTTAAATGGTGATATGATTTAGATTGAAGAATAGGGAAGGAATGGAGCAAGACAGCAGAAGGGGAGCTGGGTTAGCACGGACATTTTTCCAAGATGGGGGAATCATTCATGTACCTGCACATGCTTAGATGCAAACACGCAACACAAGGATACTTACCTCGAATTTCACGAATAAATGTGTGTGCATGCATTCATGCACACATCTACATGACGCTCATATTGACACTCCCGTGTGTGCCTTCTCGTGCACATGCAAATGTTCACACTCGTGACCTGAATGCACACATACACATTGTGCTGTGTGCATTCCATATACATTCCATATGTCTTACATAAGTGTACCTAAGTCCCCCGAGACACCACCCAGCAACTTCTGCTGTCAATGTCTAGGATGTCAGAGTAATCACAGCTCATACATTCACTAGGAGATGCAGATGCCCTTTTGCTGGCACATACATGGCATGCGTGGGCTTCTTTTGTTGTAGATTCAGTCTTCCTTCAGGGCACCTGATGGGGTAGGCAACTAGACAACCACTTGTACTGGAAGCCCTGCCACAGGGTTATTCTCTGTGTTTTCATGTTTTAAATTCTTTCTGGTTAAAATAAAAGGTTCATCTGGAGAAACAATGAACCTGAGGGTTGCAGACACTGAGGGTGGGTCTTGCTAGGACAGCGCATGGCCCAGGGCTACAAGCAGGCTAGAGGCTGGGAAACTGAACAGAGCAATGAGAGACAGCTTGATCTTTCTGAAGATCTTTCCCAGGCCATTCTGTCCTTCAGCCTTTGCTCAAAAGCTACCCCCACTCCCACCTCCACTCATTAGGGAACCCTGAAGCCTATGACCATGCCTAAGAGTTGTTGGAGGAAGGAGCCATTGACTGAACAAGGCACTGTTAGAAGATGAGGCAGAAGGACAGGCCAGGGGACAGGCTGAATGGAAGCCCAGCAGTTGTGGTTAGAGGGCGCTGGGAGGTGGCGATGGGATGGATTATGGGCAGGCTTAGTCCCCTTTTGTGCATTTTTAGACATTTTCTAATCTGGATAGGGTATTTGCTTCTTTAAAATACTGTATTTGATAAGAAGCTACTGCATGTGGAAATGAAGCCATTGGTGGCACAAGAGGGCCCAGTGTGATTAAGACAAGTTGGGTACAGGTGCCAGAGCCTAGAAGTCCTGTCTGAAGACGACAGACCTGAGCCAGGGTGGCAGCAGCGATGTGGATCCTCCAGGGCCCCTAACCTGGACTCTACTAGAGATGGGGGTATCCAAGGATATGCCAGGCTAGTGCCCAGTGGTCACCCCTGTTTTCTCCCTGCAGCCCGGAAGCAGGAGATCATCAAGACCACAGAGCAGCTCATTGAGGCAGTCAACAACGGCGACTTTGAGGCCTATGCGTGAGTCTCCGGGGGGGTTGGGGTGGGGGGTTGTGGAGGGCGAGGATGGAGGATGGGGCCCCTCCTCACTTGGGTTTGCCCCCCAGGAAAATCTGTGACCCAGGCCTGACCTCATTTGAGCCTGAAGCTCTGGGCAACCTAGTCGAAGGGATGGATTTCCACAGATTCTACTTCGAGAACCGTGAGTGAGGAAGTCGGGGTGGCCATGTCAGGGAGACACTATCAGGAGGCTCCCTTAACCCCTCAGTCAGTACCTGGTGCTGTCACTTCAGAATACCTGCTTGTCCACAGTGCTGGCCAAGAACAGCAAGCCGATCCACACCACCATCCTGAACCCGCACGTGCACGTCATTGGGGAGGATGCAGCCTGTATCGCCTACATCCGCCTCACACAGTACATTGATGGCCAGGGCCGGCCCCGCCCCAGCCAGTCTGAAGAGACCCGCGTGTGGCACCGCCGTGATGGCAAGTGGCAGAACGTACATTTCCACTGCTCGGGCGCTCCAGTGGCCCCACTGCAGTGAGGTGAGTACCTGGGGTGTGGCCAGATAGTGTGTGGGGTACCCTGACAGGTGAGCTGCATAAGCCAGAGCTTGGTGGGTCAGGGATAGAGTTAGGGATCGGGGTGGGTCCTGAACTCTACTCAAGTATTAGCAGTCACGGTAGGGGCTGCCTAGGTAACCGGTGAAGGTAGAAACTGCCTCTCTTGGCAGGTCCCTTTCTGAAAGGACACTAACTTGATGGCTTCCTACCAGGACCTTTTCCAAATAGCAAAGACTTGGGTCCTTAGGGTGGGGGAGATGTCCTGAGGAAGGTGACCTGCCCCCCTGTTTCAGAGCTGCGCCTGGTTTCACCGGACAGAGTTGGTGTTTGGAGCCCAGCCGCCCTCGGGCGCACGGCCTGCCTGTCGCATGTTTGTGTCTGCCTCGTCCCCTCCCCTGGTGCCTGTGTCTGCAGAAAAACAAGACCAGATGTGATTTGTTTTTAAAAATAAGATGATGACAACGACAACCACATGCAAAAAAAAAAAAAAATTGGCATCGGATGAAATGGAAAAAAAAAAAACTAAAGAAAGGAAAAAAGCTGTAAAAAATCTGGCATTTGTGGGGCCACCCTCCCACCCAAGCTCCACATGTGTCTGTTGCGCTCCTGGCTTTGGGGACCCTCAGGGCGTGAATGTGCCCGTGCTGACCGTGTTAGTCTGTAGGTATCGCACTCACCCCACACCTTGGGCGTCTGCATCCTTCCTCTCATGCATGGGCCCCACATGCTAACCTGGCTGTTGTGGTGTCAGGTGTCTTGGGAAGGGCTGGGGGCTGCCTCCTTTCCTGCTAGTTGTGCCTGAGAGTTGCTGCTGTTCCTGCTTTCCCTACTGTCCCTCATCCCGTGAAGGGCGGGGTGGGTGCTCCTCTAGCCAAGGACCTACCTTTGCCCCAAGGAGTGTGTGGGAGAAGTTTGTCCTCAAGGTCATCAGAGAAGAACTTGGGCCCTCAGCTCTGGTTCTTTGGGGAGTGAAGCATGGAGGTAACACATCTTGCCTCCAGGCCTCATGCCTGGCAAGGGTTGGTTAAGAAGGCATGCAGTGCCAACCACCTAGCTATGGAGAAAGGACTGGGCCAGAGGATGGCCTCCTTCCTGTTTGGGGCACTTGTCCCTTCCCTGCCACCAGCAGCAGAGCAACAGTGGCCCACCCCTGGCCTGGGCAGTTCCTTTCTGTGAAGTTGGCAGCAAACCCTCCCGAGGACTGAGGACATGAAATACTGGATGGATGCTGGGAGCAAGCCAGACTGCATCTGGGGTGTTTGCCCATTGATCTTGGAGTCTGGGTGCTCGTTCTTGGTTGAATGACACAGAATGTGGTAAAGAAGGGCCAGAAGATGGGGTTTAGGCTCCAGAGCAATGCAGGTCTGAATAGGCGTTTAATGAAGTAGGAGTGCTTTCTTAACCTGGACCTAGAGCCGAAGCCAGAGCATGAGCCAGCCAGAGGCAGATGGAAGGACAAGGGCTGTGTTGTGTGAGGGAGGCCCTTCCAGCTGGGTCAGAGATGGCCTAGAGAGAAGGCAGGCTGGGGGTAGAGATTTATGGGTGTGGGGCCTAGATACCAGTGGGTGGAGGGAGGATCCATGAGGACAGTGTGCCACCTCCAGGGCCCAGTGGTGCTCCTAGGTGCCAGCTGCTTATTGTGGGTGGCCCTGGCTATTGGTGATCAGGAGAATCACACAAGGCTGGAAGCATTGTAGAGTCAGGCTAGGGAGAAAGGTATGAAGCCAGGTTGGGTGGGGGTGGTGAGGAGCTTTGACTGAAATAGTCCAAGGACCTCCACCCCAGTGCTGCCCACTTTAAATTAACATCATTTTCAACCAGGATTTTCTTTATCTTCTGCTACAAATCAAGTCAGGGGAGGGGCATGAAGTGGGGAACGGGACACAGGATCCTAAACTCCAAGGGGACTGTCTACCTACAGACACTCAGTGGATACCACCTTTCATCCACACTGTGCCCAGGACAGCTGTCTCCTACCCATGGACACAGGGTAAACACCTGCCAGGCTCCACTTGAGTGGCCCAAGGCCATGGAGTGGCAGGGCTTGCCACGGACAGTGTGAGGCCCTGTGACCAGCCACCCTGGCATCCTGGGGTCTCCTTTCCTCTCCCCACCCACCTTGTTATCTCCACAAAGCTGCCTGTCTGGGATTATTTGGGGATTTTTTTTCTGGGGACAATTCTTTTGCATGACCCTCTAAAGAGCAGGTCACTCCTGCTCTGCTGGCTAGGTGTTCGCGAGTGGTGGTGTTGGCCGCTGGCCGGTGCTGCAGTGTGTCACTGCCTGCAGTACTGGTGGCCCTCCCTCTTCTCTTTTTGCTGAGTTCCATTGTCTTTTCTTTCTGAGCCTTGTAGGTGTACAAAACTTATTCTTATTTTGTTCTGTCTCGGGAAACTGCAAATAAAAAAAAAAAAAAAAAAAAAAAAAAAAAAAAAAAAAAAAAAAAAAAAAAAAGGACAACCTGCTTCAAGTACAGCTGAGTGTTTTATGTTGGGCCCTGTCAATTCCCTGCTTGACAATACAGACCCGTCTGCTCCTTAGCCTAGACGTGGTCAGGGTGGAAGGACAAGGGGCCCTAAGTGATCAGTGAGGCATAGTCTTCTCTTTATCCCTTAGTGTCTCCAGCTCCAAAGCCCTGTCCCTGTCTGTCATCCCAGTCACCAGAAGGGTAGCCTCCAGAAAGGGCAGCCACTGTGCAGGAGCCCCAGATCCAAGTGTCCTCTTGAGTTCCTTTTATCACCTTCCCATTTGATATGCTGACTGTTCTAGACATGAAGTCGTGTGTTAAGTAACTCCCCCCCCCACTCTGCTTCCATTGGTTATGCAGACAGCACAGCATTTATATGGTAGTCATCATGGGTGGTATCAAGAGGCTTCACAGAGAGGCTCAACCTGGAGATCCTATCCAAGAGCAAAGGGACTCCAAGAGTCAGGACAAAGACAACCAAGACCATGACCAAGTTCTGGAGTCTGTGGGCCAACTTTGTCCTGGCTGCAAAGCAGAGAAGCCCCCTCCCCAGGCTTTCCCCTGCACCTCCACCCTCAGCATAGGGCAAATCTGTGTAGGTCCTGTCCTGTCTTCAAGTCTGCAAAGATGAGTTCCTATATCCACAGCCTATCCACTAGGAATAGGAAGGCTCAAGGGGTCCGGGACTGGCCAACATTCCCAACTGCCTCTTCCATCTTTAGCTTTTTTTTTTTTTTTTAAATCATCTTAAGCATTTGTTTCCAAACACCTTCACTTAGTAAAGAAGGCCACTGGTGTTTACCTCATGGTCTCTGTGGGTGTAGCCCACAGAGTGAGGTGCTCTTAGGTATATGGGCAGGCAGGCGGTAGGTCTCCAGAGCTAAGAATCTAGGCCAGTGTCCACAGGTGCAGCAGCAATGGGCCCTCTATCTAGGGTTCCAGTCACCTATCAGCTGTAATCGGAGTAGCGTTTCCAGGCCAGGCCTCCCTCAGGAAGGCAACAAGCTGCTGAGTGTGAGCCTCCACCATGCATTATTCCTGAAGCCTTTCTGTGGATGTTGGACAGCAGGGCAGTGCTGACAGGGTTTTCAAGGCAGCACCCAGGGTTAACCATCCCGCATGGGGCTGAGTACTACATGCAGAGAAACACTCTTGAGGAGTGTTTCATTTGTCATTTTTAAATAGCAGTTACTTTGAGCAAAGCCCCTTAGGCATCTGTCACCCCAAGGAGGTTCAGGTTACTCTGAACTCTACCATGTCCACAGATCAGGAAAAGGTGGCCACTGGCTCCAGGGCTGCTTACCCAAGCCAGGCAGAAGGGTCTCTGACAACAAGGACATTAAGTACAGGCTGAAAGCAGGCCTAGCTGACCTGCTGAGGCAGAGGCTACAGATGCCTCAGGGTCAGGAGTCCCCACAAACCCTGGGAAGCTAGGTGGTTTGGAGCCAGCCAGCGCCAATAGGGGAAACTTGGGCAAAATAAAGCCTCCTTCCCAGGTCTCTATTGCTAAGAGGCAGCTCTCCCAGTCAAGTTCTCCAATGTGAGAGAACTGTGTTCTGAGATGGCAAGGCTACTCCAGAGCTCCCTCACCTGGCCAACAGCAAACAAGGAAATAGGATTCCTACCAGAAAGGCCTGGAGGTTTATCTGGGACAGGATCCTAGTACCTGCAGGAACAAAGCACCTGGTGTCTCCCACCCCTCAGTGGCTAGGCTGGGGACAGATGTTTCCCTGAAGCTACAAGTAAACACAGGGACAGTACTGGAATTTCAAAAGGCAATTTTATCTAGACAGAAACCTTCAAACAGAACAGAGAAATTAGGCATTATTAAAATACACTTTTGCCAAGTGATTTAACATTAGAATATAATGGAGGAGGGACGGGAAACACATGGCAACTCAATCCATTGCAGGGCGAGTGATACCCTGTAGGACAGTCATGTGTGGGCAAAGGTTATCTCTTTCCCACAAATGTCCACCTCCACACACCCCCACTCTTCCCCAGCACCCTCCAGAGCAAGAAGAAAAACAGGCTGCACTCCAGGCTATTGATTCCACCTGAAGTGCCAGCAACAGACTGGATGGGTGCTGTCCAGGAGCCCTGGGATGGAGAGGTCTGTGGCAGCAGGAAAATTATATGGGCAGTCCACTCCAGGGGGAGCCTGAGCCCTTTGGCTAGCAATACCCAGAGAAACAGGCAGATATACAATGAGTAAGGATTTTGGAAGCCACAGTAGACATCCCCCTCCCTATATGGGCACTCTGAGGGTAGCTCAACAGGCTCAGGGCAGGGACCATCAGAGTAAACCAACTCTGGTTCAAAACTTAACGGGTTGGAATCCCAGCAGCTGTTTCTGGGGAGACAGGATCTCACAATATACTCTGTGCACAGAAGAACATGAAGAGGCAACATGGGACCCAGCACATCCTGGGCTCACCACACAGACTGTGCAGGCAGTGGGTGCTAGCTCAGACCAACCCCTCAACATGCCCTACCCTACAGCTGTCTCTGACTGGGAAAGGGCTTGTAAGCCAGAGCTGGACAGACCACAGGTAGATGCTGGGAATCTTCGGACTGCTGGAACCTTTCCTGGTACCCACAGGAATGACTTGTTCAAACATGCAGGCCCTAAGCAGTTGCCAAGACAGCCTTGTAGACAGGGACAAATAAAACCAGCTTTGAGAGATGATGGCATCCACTACTTTGATCTTGATGTCCAAAGTCTGACTGCAAGTCAAGGTAAGTGTGCCTCCACACTGGACAGCTGAGGGCACCTGTGTCTGCTTCTGCCCCTGAAGATGGACACTCCCAGCTGACCCTCCCAACATCAGAACTGACTGAAAAAAAAAAAAAAAAAAAAACACACTTACAAATCTTGCACTTCTCAGCCCATTCTAAGTATCTCCCATAAGTCATCTTTGTGGTACTGGATGAAAATATTTAGGACGTGCCCTGTCCCTGGCAGATGCCAATTCTAGCCAACAGAAAAGCCAAACAGGGGAGAAACAGTGACCACTGCCTTTT